CCTTTTCCGCTGTCACCTGCGAGGGGCGAGCGGGGACATTAAAGGTCCCACCTGAGGCAGGCTTCCCTCCGGGCCCAGGAGCCCCACCCCCGGGGCTGGTGGCAGGAGGCGGGGTGGGGCGGCGCAGAGCCATGCACAGCCCTTAGCCCGTCCCTCCGTCCCTCCAGGCACAGCTGAGGGGAGCTGGAGGGACCAGAGGACCGGCTGCACCCACATGGGCCCAGCCCCGCACTGGGTTTGAGCCGGCCAGGGCAGTGGACACCACGCGGGCACCGACACGGTCCCTGGCACACGGCTCCCGCCCCAGCCCAGCCCCCGGCCCAGCACCTTTTCCCCACGCTGGCCACGGGGTCGGCCCCGCTCCTGCCGGCCGGCTTCTTCCTCCGAGGCAGCTTCCTGGCCCCGGCCCTGTCCTCAGGCCCCGCGTCCGGCCGCTGCGCGCCGCCCTTGCTGTCCAGGTCGCGGAGCACGCTGTAGTTGATCTTGCTGGAGATGCGCTTCTGCTCCAGCATCTTCTCGATGGCCTCGCCGGCCGTGCTGGCCTGGATCGGCTCCTTGCGCTTGCACGGCTTCTTGGGCTGCGGGAGGCACACGCGTTACCCCCAACCCACGAGGTGCTGCCCAGGGCTCCAGGGAAGGAGGGGCTCAGCCGCCCCCAGGCTGCGCCCACCTCCTCCTCTCCCCACTGCACCTCCCCAGTGAGCGGGCACTGCCCCAGCCCACCACGCGGCCCCTCCCGTGCGGGGCCGGGGCCAAGCAGAGAGGACAGAGCAGAGCGCCTGGGCTGGGCTCTCACCAGCGGGGAGGGTGGGCCCTGGACACGTCCTGGTGCTGAGCTGAGACCCTGCAGGAGCCGCCTCCACCTCTCCAGCCCACCAGCCTCCTGAGCAGCCCCCCACGGGGCCCTGACACGGACCAGCTCCAGGCCCCCAACCCTGACCCTGCTCCTGGCCTCCTGGCCTCCCTCTCTCTGGGTCCAGAGGTTTGCGAGCACAGCCTTTCAGCTGCCGCGATGCCCGCCTGCCGCACGCAAGCTTCTGTCTCTTCTCTGTCAGTTACAGGCCTGACCACTCCCCCAGGCAGCTCCAGCCAGACATCACCGTCCAGCCACAGAGGAGCCACTCAGCCGTTACTGTGACCACACAGGACGGGCGGCCAGGCAGCAGCGGGGCAGGGTGGGCAGGCCCTCCGAGGCCCCGAGGCCCTGCAGCCTGCCTGGGGCTTCCCCACCGGAGTGCACAGCCGGCACCCCCCGCCCCCGCCCCCATGCCAGCCCCACTCGTCGGGGGCAGCGGTTCCGGCAGCGCCCACCTTCTGCTCCTTGTAGATGCCCAGCTCCTTCTCCTTGGCGATGCGGGCTTCCTTCTCTGAAAGACCAACAGCGCTGGTCAGCGAGGGCCGCCGCCACCCCCCGGGGCGCCAGGGCGGGCGGCACTCACCCCTCTGCTCCCGCAGGTACTCGGCGTTCTCCCGCATCCACAGCTCGGCCTTCACGCGGGCTTCTGCCTCGTTCAGGATGTACTGGGGAGCACAGCGCGCCTGAGGGCTCACTCACCTGGGCTGGGCCTCCCCCCAGGAGGTGCAGGGACACCTTTCCACGGCGCTCCCAGCCCTGGGCAGCTCACAGGTCAGTGCTGGGTCCTCAGGACGGGCGGCCTCCCTGCCGCAGGGCCTGCACCGGGCCCGGTGGGGCCCATGGGGGCCTCTGGGTCAGGGGTCCCCAGGCCCAGAGAAGCCCCAGCCCAGGCAGGGCGCGCCTGGGAGGGCGCGGAGCACACTCACCCTGTCGATCTCCAGGTCATCGATGCCGCTGAGGTCCAGCTCGCCGTCCCCGGAAGCGTCTTCTAGAGGGAAGCACAGCGGTCAGCAGGCTCCCGGCCCCACCCCTCCCCGTCCTCCCCGGGCTCTCGGACTCCGCTTCCTCCTCACCAGCAGCGGGGCTGGCGCTGCTCCTGCGTGTGCGTGTGCGTGTGCGTGTGCGTGTGCGTGTGCGTGCACAGGGAGAGGAGCTACGACCCCGACGCAGAGGGAGCAAGATCTGCCCCCCACGGGCTGCCGGGCCCTCTCCCCGCCTCTGCTGAGGCCCCTGCTATCAGCCCACAGCAGGCATCTGGGGCGCTCCCCACCGAGGCCCTGTGGCCCCCCGGGCACCCCAAGGCGCCCCTTGTTCTCAGCTCTGGCCAGAATGGCCTCTGCTCCAGGGTCCAGGGTCCCCGCTGCCTCAGGACCTCTGCCCCAGGCTGCGGGACCTGCCCAGGGTCCATGCACACAGAGCCCCTTGGTGGGGCGACCTGGCAGATTTAACTGTCATGCCACCCCCTCCCCCAGGCCACCACTGCCACTGGGCAGGCCGCCCTGCCACGCCTGCCACGCACATGTGAACCTCAGGCAGCCAAACAGCTTTGCTGAGCAGTGCCCAGGGGTCGGACCCTCCACGGGGGAGTCAGGGCCTGGTCCCAGCAGAGGAGCAGGACCTGCCGCTGGAAGTGACTTGAGGGAACCAAAGTCCCTTCCCGGGGCGGGAGCCCCTGTGCCTGCTCAGTGGGTCACTGTGGGGCTGGGGCTCAGCAGGCGATGTCTGTCTGACCATGGAGACCGTGCCCGCAGCCGGCGCGGCCCCACCAGCTTAGACAGGGCAGAGGATGGCACAGGGTCCAGGCTCCGTCCCAGGGCCCTTGTGACACACGGCCATGACTTCTCAGCTACGATCTGCCCACAGGACGCCTGTGCACGGTGCCTCTGGGTCACATGGGGGCAGGAGGGAGCCTGTGGCCACACCTCACAGAGGGCTCTGGCCAGGACCTGAGCCACAGGCCAGCAGACAAGGGTCCCAGAGACAGTGGTGCCCTGCTGGCATCGGGGTCACTGACTGCTCACAGCCTGCGAGGTGGCTGCAGTGCCCTCCAGCAAGCCCACGCGCCTGAGGGGCGACCCACACCCACCACACCCACCACACCAGAACCCGCCCGCCCGCACTCACTGGGCTCCTGGCTCTGCGAGGAGATGCACTCGCGGATGGAGTCCGAGATGCCCAGGCTGGCCGCGGTGGGCAGGGGGCCCGAGCAGGGACTCCAGGGCGGGGGGGCTTGCCGCTCCCACTGGGGCTGCCCGCGGCCCTCCGGCGCTGCCGGGAACGCCGCCGCCGAGCAGCTCCCGGTAGAAGTCCTTGTTCAGGTGGCTGGCAGCGGCCTCCAGCTCCTCGTCCTCGGCGTCCTCCTCGCCAAACAAGCTGGCCGTGGCGTCCTCGACGGGGCCTGGGCACAGTCCACCCGTCAGCCCCAGGGGCCAGGCCCGCTGTGGGAACACTCCCACCGCTAACGAAGCTCCTGAGGACGAAAGCGCCTCCATGGCTTTGTCACAAAGGGCGCCGCCGTCCACGCCACCGACCCCGGCTACACCTCACGCCTCATGCGAAATTAACACAAGACGCCACAGGCTTGAACACAGCAGCTCAGAGGACCCCCCCCCCCCCCAGCCTGGGACTCCTCCCCGAGGGCCTTTTCCTACTGATTGTTAGCGAGTGGGAGGAGGGGAGACAGAGGGAAACACCTCTGAGAGAGACACCTCGCTGGGCTGCCTCCCACACGCCCCCTGGCCAGGGCTGGGATCGAGCCTGCAACCCAGGTACGTGCAACTTCTTAGAAATGGCACTGAACGCAGAATCCACAAAACACTGATCAATCGAATTTCATCAGGACTGGGGACAACGCACAGACTTACTGCAAAGCACACAGCTGACCAGGACGTGTGTCTACGAGACGAAGAACTCAAACTCCCTGCCGAGGACGCGCCCGTCAAGTGGCCAGACTCAGCCGGGGAGATGGCTGCGCGCGAGTGAGCACGTGCCCCCGGGAGGACGGGCGGCCACGTGGGAAGCAGAAGGGGCGGGTTCTCGGACACACGCGTTCGCCCCCTCGGCCCTGGCCCAGGAGGGCACACTGTCCGCACGAGATGGTGGGAACGTCCACAGCGCTCAGCGCCGTCCAACAGTCCTCAGCCGGCGGCCGGGCCAGCACCGCCGCATGGAGAGGGACAGGCGCTGCCGGAGCCGTGGCCGAGACCAGCGACAGCGGAGGGGGCGGGCGGGCCCTGCAGGGAGCACAGTCACTTGGCCGCTCCCACAGCGCAGTTCCCTGCAGGTGGCGCCGAGTGTCACGCAGAGGGCGTCCATCCTGACACGCGTCTCCCTGGGAACAACCACTCGCTCCCCAGACGGCAGGGCAGTCGTGTGGGGACCACGGGCTGGACATCCAGTGGCTCCGCCCTGCGCACGCAGCACGCGCCTGAGGGAGGGACGGCCGCCTCCTGCTGGCTGCCTCCCCCTGCCTCCACCCTCCCAGCCGCCCCAGCACCCCACTGGGAATCGCTTCCCGCCCCATGTCACCAGGGCACAGCGACGCAGGACAGCACACGGAGCCGTGGCCGCCACGGGCTCACAGGCGTGGCTCAGGAGGGGGACCCAGGAGCGGCCCCGCAACCAAGGCGGCCGGCCCGTCCTGCTCCATGGGCGCTGAGCCTGGGTGGTAGGTGGGATGCCCCGTCCGCCACCCTGACCACGCAGCCGCGTGCGGGAGGGGGTGGCGAGGAAGCCAGAGAGAGGAGGAGCATGGGAAACATCCGGGAAACTGGTGGACAAACACGACACCAGGCCAGGGCAGAGAACACCCCAGAAACAACCTCGCTCAGACCGCGAGGGCGCTGCACCCACACGGCCAGCGCAGGTCACAGACGGGCCCTGTGTCCATGAGGCTTAGAAAGAGGAGTCGTGGCAGCAGACGACCCCACGGAGGTGGAGCCCAGGCCTAGGGCATCACCCATGATGCCCGGCCAGACACGCAGGGCACGGCTCACAGGAGGGACAGCGCCAGCAGCACTGCCCGCATCGCGCGATGAGTGCGTAACACAGAAGGCACCTCCCATCCGCCCCGGAGCTTCCACCGTCTCCCGAGGCTCGAGCACCGAGGAGAAACAGGACCCGTGCTGGGAGCGCAGACGGCCCTGCGTGCTCAGCCCAGTTGCAGGAGAGACCACGGCTCAAATACAAGACGCAGCAGCAGCAGCAGCAGGTCCATGTAAAGCCAGTGACGGACGTGCACTAACCCATCAAAAAAGACCCAGAAACAAAGCTACGTACAATAACAGAGAATAAAATAGAAAACGACTGTGGAACAATAAGATCAAAAGTATCCTAATAGCCGGGCCAGCGTGGCTCAGTGGTTGAGCATCAACCTATGAATAGGAGGTCAGAATTTGATTCCCGGTCAGGGCACATGCCCGGGTTGCAGGCTCCATCCCAGTGTGGGGCGTGCAGGAGGCACCTGACCAATGATTCTCTCTCATTGCTGATATTTCTCTCTTTCCCTTCCTCTCTAAAATCAGTAAGAATATATATATTTTTTAAAGTATCCTAAGAGCCCTGCCAGTGTGGCTCAGCAGTTAGAGCATTGGTCCACGCACCAAAGGGTTGTAGGTTCGATTCCCGGTCAAGGGCAGGCACCTGGGTTGTGGATTTCCTCCCGCCTACGGTGCCAAGAGGCAACCAATCGATGTGTCTCTCTCACATCGATGTCTCTCTCCCCCCTTGGTTCTCTCTGAAAAAGCTATGGAGAAAATGCCCTCAGGTGAGAATTCACAGCAAACAACAGCCCTGACCCACTTGGTCCATCCTGTGCAGAAGGGGAGCAGGCTGGAGGCAGGACTCAGCCCTGGAGAGGAGCCAGGCGCCTGCCACCCAGACGGAGCATCAGGGCAGCACGCCACCACCTGCTCCCGGGCCTGAGGCCGGGCACAGGGACCCGCCCAGAGCTGCCCAACCTGGACAGGGCCGAGCCCTGGGCAGGGAGACGAGGGGGCGATCAGAGAGACATGAAACCACACGGCACCACGGCTGTGCAGGACGCCACAGCGGCTCTGCAGGCGCGAGGGGCACTGAGGGTGCCTGGGGTGGGGCTGGACAGGACGGGCACTGAGGGGCCCGTGGAAGGGGCCCAAGGGGCCTGCGGCTGCAGAGCCAGGGCTGAGCTCTACCCATGGGCAGTGAGCAGGGCCGGCCTGCGCCTGCGAACAAGAACCCGAGGGGACGTCAGCCCAGGGCAACTGGGCCCGCAGGGAGGGGACTGGCTGCTGGGAGCTGCTCAGCGCAGGGCTGGGACCTGGGGCCCGGGCAGGGGACACAGGCTGTGGTGACAAGTGCGGACAGGGAGGGGCGGGCGCACTCACCGTCTCTCGCCAGGCTGGCCAGCGCCCCCTTGGCCTTGGGCCGGCTGTTTTCGAGTTCAGTCTCGATTTCGTCCTGGTAGCTGGAGATTTCCCCTGAGGGACAGTGAAGAGCAGGAAGTGAGCACAGCACCCCTTTCCCGGACCGAGGGGTCTGCGGGCAGGACGGACCGAGGGGTCTGCGGGCAGGATGGACCGAGGGGTCTGCGGGCAGGACAGACCGAGGGTCTGCGGGCAGGACGCTGCTCACCTTCCACTTCCTCCAGTTTTCTCGACAGGACTTGTTCCAGCTGAAAACCAAGAGACGAGACCCTGAGCTGAGGGCCAGGAGTGACCAGGGTGTCAGCCGGACGCGGCGCCTGCAGGCCGTTACTGGCACAGGGCCCGACGCCCACCTTGCTGGGAACACGCTTCACGGGGCCGATCAAGGGCCAGGGCCGCAGGGTCAGGGGCCGGGGTCCCGACCAGGGGACGTGTGCACAGCTGTCTAGACAAACCTCCCAGGCCCGTGCCAGTCGCCCCGGGGGACAGCCTGGGAAGGGGACCCCTGTGCCCCTCCCCCCGGACCGCCATGTGCACCTCCCCACACACGGGCACGCATGCAGACCACCGTGTTGCAACACAGACGTGCAGCGTTAGGTCGCAGAACCGAGCGCTGACCGGGAGGCGCAGGCCCCTGCGCGGGCGGGCCCACCTGCTTCGCCCGCAGCTTCCGCTGGCCAGCCGTGTACGACGGGGGGTCACACTCCTCCTCCAGGTCGATCCTCATGAACTCATCCACGGTCAGCTGACTGGTGGGGGTGTCTTCGAATTCCGTGAGCCTAAGACAGAGATGGGACAGGCGCCTGCTGCCCTGCACAGCACTGACGCCGGCAGTTTAGGGAGCGGCCCCGGCAGTGCCCCCCTGGCCCTCCGGCCGCCCGTCCGTCCGCTCAGTCCTGCCCACAGCGCAAGCCCGACTGGGAGAAAGGTGGACCGGAGGCCGGGAGGAAGCCCGCCGGGCGGTCGTGTGCCCTGAAGGTCAGCTCCCAGCACCCTGCAGCCTCCCGTGTGTGAGAATTAAAAGAACTGCAAGCGGAAGAGGCACCCACGGGCCCACCCGCCTGTGAACACACGGGGGACAGGCGGCAGGTACGGCCTGTGCAGCTGAGCCGGGCGGCCGGGACCTCACTGGCCACTCGGTACGCGGACCTGGGGCCTGTGTTTGAGCTCAGCTTCCTCCAGGTGACAGTCACTCGGCCACACCGAACAGGACACGGCGAGGCCGCCCTCAGTGCCCGTTCCTGACCCGCTTGAGTCTGGGCGATTCTATAAACTGCCGCCCACCTGCCCTGCTCAGAAGGGGCCGCCGACTGCCGACGGCCTGGGTCAGCCCCAGGAGGGACCTGGGCAGGGAGAGGGCGGCCCCTCTGCGCTGGGCCCTGCAGGGACCCCGACGCTGGACCCCGACCAGCAGGCCTGGCGGAACCGGGAGGAGGACGCAGCCTGCCCCGAGCCTGCGCACGGCCACCCACCTCTTCCTCAGCGTGGACTCGCACACCTTGACCACGCTGATGACCTCTTTGACGGTTCTCCGGAAGTCGTGCATCCTGGCTGCGACCAGAAGTGCTGGGAAGGAAGTGGGGGTGAGGCAGCAGAACAGGTGCCTGCGACCCAGACGTCAGCTGCCCTGCACTGGGCGCTCTGTCCTGTCTGTGGTGGCTCAGGCCAGAGCGGGTGTCAGACCCTGAGATCCACACGCCGCTGCCGGACTCACACGGTGCACGCGTGCTGCCCACCCTCCGCGGTGAGGCACGCAGCTAGCGCGCGTTTCCTGCGGACTCGGAGCCGCCGAGCCGTCAGCAGCGCTGGCCTGCGTGGAAGTGGAACTGAGGCCTCAGGGCCTGGGACAGGGGAGGGCCTGTGCTGGACGGTGGCCCGGCGGCGGGGGGGCTGGTCCTGGTCTGCAAACTCAGAGACCAGGCTCTGGATGGAATGAGCAGGGGCCTCGGGCAGCGTGCGCCTGCGGGAGCTGATGGTGGCGCAGGGGCCCTTGGCGTCCCAGGAAGGAGTGGGCCGTGGGCACTGGGCATGGGGCCAAGAGGAAGACAGGGGACTCCAGGTCCAGGGCTCCAACAGACCCAAAGGCGTCTGCGGGCAGCTGCCACGGTATACACTGGACAGCTGACCCCTGGGGGCCAGGGAGCCAACCCGAAAGCAGGCACCCCAGCCATCAAGCCCCAGGTCCCATCCCTGCCCCTGGCCGGTGGAAGGCACCTGGGAGCAGGTGGGAGCCCGAGAGGGTGCAGGAGTTTGGGAGGCAGCTCTGGAGACAGCCCAGCTCCTCCGGCTGCAGGGTCAGGACAGAAGCCCCCGCCCGGCGGCCACAGGCCCAGGCAGCCTGACGCCCAGACCCCGTACCTGCCCCGCAGAGGCCCGAGGGGCGCCGGCCGGTGTGCATCCAGTCCCGCTTCATCCTCTGCAGGAGCCTCATGGCCGTCATGGACACTTCGTGGTTCTTCTCGCCGAACTCCAGCAGGTGGGCGAAGCGCGGGATGTACAGGCAGGGGTCTGCGCAGACACGCGGGATGTACAGGCAGGGGTCCCCGGCCCAGCAGCCTCGCCCCACGCCCCCCTCGGGGCCACCCTCTCCTGTCCCTCCACCACAGGCTCCCCAGGACCCCTCCCCTGGAACCTGCAGCCCCTGCCTCAGGGAGGGGTCCTGGCCGCCACCCGCCCCAGGCTGGGCGGCTGCTGCCTCGTTGGCGCTGCAAGGCCAAGCCCACTTGTTACAGGCTTATTGGCCGACGCTCCTCCCTGCGTCCTTTTGTCTGCGTGTGTGTCTTCGCCCAAGTGCCTGCTCCCTGAGGGAGAGGCAGCCTGCTCGGGGGACAGCGCACAGAGGCCACTCGCAGGCGCACCCCAGGCCAGCTCTGCGCTGGGACGAGGCTTTCTGGGGCCTCCAGCCTCTGAGACAGCAGCACCCGCCACCCCACGGAGCGGACTCGCTGACAACTACAGCGGCCCAGCTGGACGGAGGGCTGTGCGGGCCGGTGACGCAGCACACGGGGGAGACCAGGGACAGGACTGTCCCAGAAAGCCTTGCTCCAGGGGCTGCTGGGGGAGAGGGCAGAGGAAGGGGCAGAGGGCAGGCTGGGAGGCCCGGGAGGCACAGGAGGGGATGGTGGGCGCATCACAGCCCCCACAGCAGCAGGCGGAGGGGACAGGCCGGCTGTGCCTTCCTCCGTCCACGGGGCCTTCGTGCCTGAGCCGGGCCTGGAAGTCCCGAGACCCTCCAGTGCCGCCACCCGAAAGTTCGCGGCCACAGACAGTGGCACCAGCCCCTGAGGCAGCGCGCGTCCCCGAGGGACTGCGTGGACCCCGGCGACACTCCGCACACTGAGCAGCGCACACTGCCCCGTGTCACACCCCCAGACCCCCCTGCGTCCTGTCAGCACAGGCAGCTGCTGCCTCGTCCCCTCTTCCAGGTGCACAGATGGCAGAGCGCAGGCGCCCAAGGCCACACGCCCTGTGGCCACCACGCGACGGGCTTGAGCCCAGGCAGCCGGGAGCCACAGCCCACACCGCCCTAGTGCCTCATTCTGGATTCGTTTGGGGTTTATTTTTTTATTTTACGGTTTATTTATTTACTTTCCAAAAATCTTTACTGTTGAAAGCATTACAGGCGTCCCCTTTTTCCCACTGACCCTTTCTAGCCGCCCCCCCCCCCCAGGCCTTCACCGCACGTGGGGAGTCCACGGGCTCTGCAGGCTCCACACGAGGTCTCTGGTTCATCTCTGCCCCTCCCACCCCCGCTCCCCGCCTCGCTCTGAGGTTTGTGTGTGTGTGTGTGATTTGGTTTCCAAAAAATATTTTGGGGAAAAAAGCAAAATATGTTTTAAAAATAATGTAACTGTTAAGATTTCTAACTACTTTTAAAAAACATAAGCCCTCAGAGCTGGGGGTTTAAAGTGCATTAAAAGAGCCCATCCTGGTGGGGGTGGGGCTTCGGCATAACTTTAAAAATACTGGTAACAATTTCAAGACAAACCCACCAGGAGGGGGGTGCTGGGAGGGACAGGGACAGGGACGGGGAGGAAACGGGCGGAAGCGGCAAACCCCGCGCATAGCACAAGACCTGAGTGACCTCATCGCTCGGAGAGAAGGAAACTCAGGGGTGTCTGAGAGACACTGAAGTGACGCAGAAATGCCCAGAGCGGACACAGGCCGTGTCTCACAGCAGGGCCAGGGGACGAGGTGGGCAGGGCCGTTCTGCCGCGGCGTGCCGGGCAGTGAAAGGTGCAGAGAAAACAAGCAGCTCACAGGCGAGACAGACACACGGAGAGACAGCGAGGGCGAAGCACGGTGGAAAGCGCTGGAAACAAGTTCCAGCCCAACAACGGGAGGCTCTCGCACAACCTGAGCTGACAGACTGACAGGGGGAAGCAGACGACCCCATGTGAACCCACGTTCTCGGCCCTGCCGGGTGCTCGGCGGCTGGAGCATCACCCCGACGGGCCACGGTTGTGGGTCTGACCCATGGTCAGGCCACATGCAAGAGTCACCCAGGGAGTGCACACGTGGGAGGAACATCAAACCCATGTTTCTCTCTCTCTCTCTCTCTCTCTCTCTCTCTCTCTCTCTCTCGGCTCCATTTTTAAAAAAATATATATTTTATTGATTTTCTACAGAGAGGAAGGAAGAGGGATAGAGTCAGAAACATCAATGAGAGAGAAACATTGATCAGCCGCCTCCTGCACACCTCCCACCGGGGATGTGCCTGCAACCACGGTACAGGCCCTTGACCGGAATCGAACCCGGGACCCTTCAGTCCACAGGCCGACGCTCTATCCACTGAGCCAAATTGGCCAGGGCTCTCAGCTCCATTTTTAAAACAGGCCCTGACCATGCAGCTCAGCTGGTTGGAGCGTGTCCTGCACACCAAGAGGTGCGGGTTCACCCTGGTCAGGCCCAGGCCCAGGCCCCGATCCCATCCTCGGTGGGGCGGGCGATTATGGGAGGCAGCTGATCAACGTTCCTCTCACATCCACGTTCCTCGCTCTAAAGTCAGTAAGAACATCCGTCCTCAGGTGAGGATTTTTGAAAAGGCACTAAGGGGGGAAAGTGTTTTCAGGTCACCTGTCTGATAGGGATTAACACCCAGGAACGCAAAGAACCCCTAGGATTGGTTAACAGCCAAAACCTGATTAGAAAACGGGGGAGAAGCTGGGCGCACACAGGACCCACCAGTGAGCCCTGGCGGCGGCTCAGGGGGGAGCCTCCTGTCCCCGCACCAAGGGGCGGCTGGATCGGTCGGGAGCGCGTACCATAAAGCAGCCGGGCCGCTGCTTCTCTCAAATCAGCCCATAAACAAACATTTAAAAGAAAGAGAAGGGGCCGAGGGTGTGGAGCATCACTGCTCCAAGGAAGTCACCTGGAGCCGGGGCACAGCTCGAAGCAGTCCCGCGGGCCACGGACCACCGGGACGCGGGGCAGGGAACGCCGCCTCCACCGCCCGACCGCCTAGGGGCGGGGCTGCGGGCGCGCTCGTCGTGCGTGGGGGCAGAGCCAGCCCCGGGGCGGGGCCGCGGGCGCGCACGTCTCCGCGGGGCGG